CAGTTGTGATACAGGTCTGCTACTTCAGTAATAGGTAGGCCATAATTTTATATGCTTGTGAAATACTGATTCCTTTTCAGTTCTGTCAAACTCTCAGGTGGTGTGCTGGATACAACACTCTTCCATTTCCTTGATTTTAACAAATATCAGGACTCTTCAAATCAACTGCATCACCATTATCAAGAAACAGTGAAATATCCACAATCATCATAGAAGGTTTATTATCTAATCAGACATTCCAAATCTCTGTAAACCCCAGGTTGGCAACATGGCAACTGTGGGAAGCTGTGAAAATGCCCTCAAAGCTCTTGGCTATGGGCTGGGCTTTGTCAAACCAAGGGCCACTCAATAATATATTCTATGAAGCAGTGCAAGCTGCATATCTTCCCCTTTGATTTTATGAGATTCAGAATTCTCTCACCCTGCAATCATTTGTTAATATTGTATTAATATTTATTTGGTAAATTTATATCGCTGTCCATCTCTCCTATGTGGCTCTGAACAGTGTACAAATTTAAAAACACAAAAACAATAGAACAAAATAACCAAAAACATAACAAAATTCATTAAAAACAATAACAATTTAAAAAACCATAATATGCAGGAGAATGCACTCAATTCCCTAGCAATGCAACCACTTTACAAGCTCCATAGCCATGCTACTAGATCCCCAGGCCTGATTGCAAAGCCATGTTTTCAGGCCCTTCTGGAAGGCCAGCAAGATCTGGGCCAATCTCATGTCAGGAGAAATGATGTTATTTGAAAATTAATATTTCATAAACCTTGCCTATAATCATTGTAAGTTGTATCAATTTTTAAAAAATCAGATTCTTGGTATCAAAAGTTGTTCCTTGATTTTGCTAGCTCAGGCTTTCTTAACCTGATCAAGGTTGCCATCTTCACACTCCTGACAATTACCCCAGTTTGAGAAAGACTTTTTGCTAGTTTGTAACACTGCTGACAGTCCAAGAGTTCCCATGGAAAATCAGACTAGTTTTATTAAGACCTTATTTTCTTCCACTTTGGGGAGTTTCGGGAAAGGGCGTGTGCTATCTATCCATCAGCCACCTTAGTTTCAATTCACAATAAAACGAAAGTTTATTGCAAAGACATTCACAAGCAAGGCTTTTTTTTCATGCAGTAGTCATTCAAGTATGACTTCTTGTATAGAAATCTAAAAATGGTATTTTCTAAATAAGAATAGTATGGCTTCAGAAGGATAGTAGTAGAATTTTGCCAAGTTCCACTTCATGAAACCAGTATTATGATTGAGAAAATCATTGATTAAATCTTTTCAGTAAATTTTTTTGTACATATGAATTAAATGGCTGTAAGGCAATTAAAAAATATGAATATTTTCAATAAAAACTAAAATGGGGGACACATTTGTCATTCATTAAAATGAGCATTAACTCAGTAAAATAATTTTGACTTAGCTCCAACCTGTCACTGATTTAAAAGACATTAGTCAAAATGTCATGTAAATAATATAAAGGTCTTTTTCCCCCTATTTCTGATCACAATAAATTGCTGGTTCAAGAACACCCAATAAAAGATCCCAAACCCTTAGCAAACAGAATTTTAGAAGCCCCAGTAACATTAAAAAGCTTTAAAATACAAATACTTAATTTGAATGAACTGCCAAGAAGCTTTCTGAAGCAAACTGAGTTCAACATTTTTTCAAAGGGTTTCAAAGGTTTTCAATTGTTTGAACGGATTGATCCAAAGTTGTAAAATTATGGGATTTAATAGTTTACCCAATGAATGGCAATATGAGTTCTTGTCCTGTAAGTTTGCATGGGTCAAAGCTAATGCTTGTGATATTTTCCAAATATTGCCATTTGGCAGGTAGTAAGCTGGATCCCCAGCCAAGGGTTCTAGGGCTTGCAGTAAGTCAAGTTGCATCCAAAGGTGAGCTGGTTATTGAGACAAAATACACTTTTGTCAATTTCTCACTGTTCAATTGACTACAATTTTCGTTCTGGATCCAGCAGGTCTAGAAAGGTTTCCTATCTTGATGCAATTCATGCTTTTTTCTCTCTTGGTGCTTTATTGGTTAGTCCTGTTTCCTTTATATGTTCCATAGTGATAGCCAAAACAATTCATCTGAAATAGAAGCTAACAAAAAAAAAAGAAAAAGAAAAAACCAGCCCTGTATTTCTGAAAGGCTTCAGATACTGCACTTTGGTTATGGAGTTAGCTCAGCTGTCTCCACTGTTTTCCAGTGTCATCACGGGATGGGGAACTGGGCATCACAGCTTTGGGCGAATAGCAACTATTTCTGTTGCCAAGCTGAAAAAAGAACACCCAGATGCTGCTGCCAGCTCATGGTCTAGAAAAAGGATGCCACGTGCCAGAGAAAACAGTATGTATGCATATTCACCAGACTGTTCCTTTTTTGGATAAGCAGTATTATGCAAAACACAGCAAGTTATTCTACTTTCTCTAATACTTCCAATGAAACCAAATGTAAGGAAGTCAAATACAAGTTAAACTGGCATTTCTTTCTGTAAAGTATGGTGGCCACTGCCAACTAGGATGGCTTTTAAAAGTGACTTAGCAAATCCATGTAGAATAAGGTGATCCCTGGATACAAGCCCTGTCTATATGTTTCTTATTAGCATTGTACTATGGAATATTAATAGCTTGGGGTTGGGGATAGCAGGAGGAAGCTATTTATGCCTTATGGCTGACTTTTGAAAATAATAATAATAATAATAATTATTATTATTATTATTCCCTTGTATTATATTGTTATAAATCTTGATACATTGCATTGTTCCAATACAATAATGTTTATATGTTATGAGTAGAGATGATTAACATTCTATTATTTAGATAGCTTAAAGTATTGACAATGAAGGAAAGAAAAAAAATCTATCAATGTTCATTATAATTTGGGATATCAATATTACAAGCATAGAATTTAATTAGATTTTTCATCCAAAGTTAAATATAACATTAAAAAAAGAACCACTGCAACTCACATCATAGTATTGGTTGTATAATGATTTTGGTCTTAAGCTAATTACTTAATATTAAAATCTCCATTGTATTGTTACTTTATATACATGTTTTCTCTCATCTATGATGGAGGAAAAAAGGATAATGAAGCAAATTTAAAAAGTTAAAATGCTTAAAAAATAAAAAAGAGTAAAATAATAATAAAAAGAACGATTGGTTTCTGACTCCCCCCACCCTTATGGCCACTTGCTGGCTTCCCAGATGGCCACTGTGGGGGAGGCTATTGACTAGATAGGCAACTGGTTTGACCCAACAGGCCTTTTGTTTGGGTGTTACAATCACTGATGTGAGCCACAGAGGAGCGAGCAGATCGACCGTGACAGGCCGTGTCCAAAGAAGTTATCAAGTCTAGAGAAGGGGATGGGGGTGGGGAGAAAGGATAGCTTTGCTTCTTTTCTCCCTCTGGAGCACTAGCCAATCCACAAGAGAGACACTCATGCAGAGGATACTGCAGGAACCACCCAGTTATGACCACAGCTGTAACCAGCCATGGGAGAAAAAGATGGCAGAGAGCCACTGCCAGATACCCTGCTACAAAATGACTGGGACATGAACAATAATAGAACAGAGATAGAATGATACAGATTAAACAAGGCTAAGATCGAAAATGTGATATCGATAAAGAAAAGAATGAATGGGTACAAAGGAGATGACAAGCCAAATTGAAAAAACTAGCTGTTGGATAAGGACGAAATAAGGATAGAAAACTAAGTATTGAAGTAGAAAATAAAAAACAAGCTAAAACTGAAGTGATTAAGCCAGGTTAAAATCAGTTGGGAAGATCTAAGTATAGTACTTGGAATATAAGGTAGAGAATTGACAAGTAAGGGTAGAATGAAGATGTAACAGGGAAGTCCCAAAGCCTTGCGAAGTATGTTAAAGCTAAGGTATAGCACTAAGCTCTAGAAAATGTTAAATCAGTTAGGATAGGTGAAAGTGTATAGAAACAAAGTATAATGAACGGAAAATGTCCAGTAAATTAAAAAACACTTCCTGCTGAGTTAATAAGCAAAGTTTGTGGTGCACATTGATAACAAGCTTGTTTTTCAACTCCCAATGGGAGTTGTTCTCATGTTCTGCCTGGGTTTATCTCCTGAACCTGTGACAGTAAACTTAGCAATTATGTCTGAGTTGTGAGTATCCCAACAGTAGCAGTCAAAAGTTCAGCAAACATGGAATGGCATGGGACAATTAACTAAGAGATAAACATAATGCTCATGATTATGTTAGATATTTTAAATCCTTTAAGGAATTGAGGGCTGGCAGAAGATATTCATCCTACTATATGCACAGTGTAATATAAAAAACAAATATACACCAGTGCTCCTGGCCACCTAAATCTGAGACATTGTACATACGTGCACTTATGTGTATGGAAACAAGCTCCTTGACCTATGTGTGTTCACAAATTCTAACTATCAAAGGGCTTTTGTGATTCAATTAAAAGTGTTACATGGTCCATTTACATTGTATTTAGGCTCAAATTATCCATACACACAGCATATTTACTCCAATATTTGTATCTCATTGCTGGTGATTCTGACAATACACAAATGAAACTAACTGGATCAAAAATCACTATTTTTGGAACAGAGAGGCTTCTTCTGGGAAACATCTGGTATCACTAATCCCTCCCCCATTGGTCAGGGAAACAGCAGAAGGCTTTGCTTAGATGCCGCAGATGAGTGCTGGGAGTTGTATTCTGCACTGTGGGCAACCGGAACAGTAAAACATAGGTTCAGTTTTCTTGTTGCTTTTTCTTGGATGACTAGGTAGGCAAAATGGGTCAACTGAGTGGCCTTGATATCCCAACAACATGTCCAACAGTTTAACTCTATACAAGACCAGATCAGGTTCAGGCTATATCTAAATCCTAGGGAATTGGCGCAGTCAACTTTTTTAGGGTGGAATTTTTAGTCTGGAATGGACCTTGTTCTTCCTCAAATGAGCTAAATATCATCACCGATCAATCAGAATAATGCTGTTTTAAGATTTATTGAGAAATTTTGAAACAATGAACAGATTTTTCTGATAGCACTTGAAGTGGAGACTTGATTTATAACTTAACACATTAAGAAACTTTGGCTCAGCTTTCTTAGGATCGCACTAAAAGACAAATAGCAGAAATACAAAGAAGGAATGCTATATCAAATATTACATCAGGGTAACAAAAATGTAATACACAATAGTTTGGGCAATGCAACACTTCGATCATACACTACTTTTGGTTTAAACTTAAGAAACTTTGCAACTCTTCTCTGCTTTGTCAAGAATTTCAAGTTTTAATGATTTCATTTGGGTTAGGGATGGTCAAGAAAATAAATATACTTACTTTTAATAATTAAATTTTAATCTGTATCAAATATACCGACAGAATTTTTATAAAATAAATTCTTTTAATTGAAATAAAGAATAAAACAATCAAACTTAAAATTGTATTTTTTAGTAGGAAGGATGAGCTTGCAAGTTTGGGATAATTCCTGAAACCTGGGATTTATTTTTAAGATAGACACTCTCATTTCTCATTCTGCATTTAATTTGGATTGATACATGCTATTTATAGTAGCAACTGCAGAAAATCCTAACTTTGTTGCTGGCTTGTCAAGGCAGGGCAGGAGTAACTACTGCCAGCAATCAATCCAGCTCGCACACCCAAAGCTGGAGCCCTCTCAGAATTCACTCTTGTCTTTGCTTAACAAGCTGGCTGCCAATTTGTCCAAACACAGTAGAAGCAAGTTCATGTGATCCACTTTTATACATATAAGGCTGCAGTGCAGGTGGGAACGAATTTTGATAGCAATCCAGCTTTGTGTGAACAAGCCACTAGATGGTATAATTAATTTAAACATTAATTATAGATGTGTTTATAGTTTGAAAGAACTGCATATTTTTCAATCTTAAAAAAGTCACTTAACAAAACGCATGGTCTAGTTTGACCTTCATTTAATTGTGATAGAAAGATCTGCAAGGTTAAGCATAATTCAGTAACTGGAGATGAACAATGGGGTATACTGAGATCCTATTATTTCAAGCAAACATTTGAAGCAGAAGATTCTTTGGATGAGAGGACACGGAGTTAATAATTACTCCAAGCCTAATTTCAAGAGAAGTAGAACAATTACCACCTTCCCATAAAAAATCTGTAGCCTAGATCATGTCTCCCCCAGAAAGGGATCAACCTGAACAATGCATCTAAATGTCTGAGGTCTATAAACAGATGTAGCATTATGTTGTAAATGCAAACTCCTTAGGCAACTGTGGCTTTTGAACAATGTCATGTTATTTTTCATTGATATTTACTTATCTAAATAAATCATGGCAACTATTATAGTTTCCTCTTTTAAAGCACAAAGTTTGTAAATCTGCAACCAATAAAAATGATGTTGCCCATTTTACTCATTGTCCATGTTAGAAGCAGGAAATGCATAGTCGACCTAAAGTTTTCCGAGATACTAATTATCTTAATACTGAATTGTGTTCTTCACTGCAGGGCTCCTAAATGTAGAATGGTGTTGACTTGAAATTATAGAGGGACATGGCTGAACAGGTAGGACACAGATTCACCATTGTGTGTTCTTCTGATTGCCTCAGCCAGAATCATAGAAATATCAATAACCTAGAAGAAAAGGCAACAGCTTATTACAAATCCCATAATCCACACATAAAGGTTCATTCCTACCCGAATGCTACATCAAAAAACAATAACAAGCAGTCTCATGTGACAAAGCCAAAGAATTGTGAGTGGGAAAAAAGGAGCCTATTTGTGTGAAAAATATTGTGCATAAATCACTTAGCACTGATCACCCTTATGGCAAGACCAAGATAGAAGTGGTACAAATTTCCTGGTCCTGCCTTATCTTGGAGCAGCCTCCAATACCATCAATTATAGTGTTCTTTTGGACCATCTCTAGGGGTTGGGAGTAGAATGCATTGTTTTGCAATGGTTATCCTCCTTCCTCTGGGGCTGCTTCCAGTTAATGTTGGTAGGTGGGAAGAGATACGGCATAACATCCTTGCTTTGTCAGCTCCCACATGGCTTGGCAACATTTACATGAGGCTGCTGGGCAAGGAAATCCACTTGCATGTGCCAGGTATCATCAGTATGTTGATGATACCAGCTTTACATCTCGATCCTTGGTTGAAACCCTTGACTGAACAAGCAGTGCTGTGGAGGTCCTATTCCAGTGCATGGAGCCTGTAAGGGGCTGGATGTGGAGGAAGTCTTAACAAGATTGAGTGGCTTGAAGGACCTACTGGTCACAGTGATTTATCATCTTTAGTTCTTGAAAGGATGGCACTGCCCCAAGAAGAATTTGTTTGTAATTTGGAGGCCCTCTTGGACTCCTGGCTCCTGCACAACAAGCAGGTGGCAGCCTTTGCCAAATGGACTTTTGTGTAAAACCATCTTGTGTGCCAATTATGTCCCTTCCTGGATTGGGAGGCCCTATTCATAGGCATTCATGCTCTGGTCACTTTACATGCTCTGGTCACCTCTCATCTGGATTACTGCAATGTGCTCTACACAGGGCTACCACTGAAGACCGCTCAGAAGCTACAACTGGTACAAAATTCAGCTGCATGAGTAGTTATGGGCATTTCCATCTTTGTCCACCACTGCTCCATGAGCTACCATGATCACTGGTGAGCTTCCGGGTACAATTCAAGGTGTTGGTTATCACCTAATGTGCCCTCTGAGATCCACATGGACAAAGCTGGAAACAACTTTGCAAATAAATTAAGAAATAAACACTAATGTGCGTGTGTCTGCACTAGCTCTTGTAAAATATATACTGTGAGCAGAAAACACCTTTCAGTGCAGACTATTTTACAGACTGGAAAAAAACACAGAGGAGAAAAATGCTTAAAAGCAAAGATCCAGCCAAGCCACTAGAGGGCAGGAGAGTGCTACCTTCCTATGACTCCAAAAATTATTTTCTCAAAATCCTCTTATTTCATTGAATTAATTCTTTTAAGCAAGTTGCCATTTGCTGATATTGTTAGCTTATTTAATCCTTTGATCCTGTTTTCAAAGAGAAACAGAACAGCAGCAGACTGCACTGCATGTTTCAAACTATATTTCCCAATGATGTTAGTACAGCAGGTTTTTCACTATTAACAGAGGGTGGCTAAATCACAATGATGTGAGCTTTCTAAAAATATGAACAGGAAAAAGCTTAATTTTTGGAAAATATTTTCAATGTGCAAGGTCATTAGTTTGCTTTGGTTTGTAACTTTCTACTGGATACCAGCACTTCAAGATATTTTTAAGATAAATTAATAACCGTCATTGCCACCATGTTAACAAAATGCTCCTCATACTGAACGTTAAATTTGGCAGTTCCTATTTTTTTAGGTAAAAGCCACAGAAGGTGTGTGATTCACATCCTCTTGTCTTGCTCCAAAGTTTCTTTAGCCTAACATCAGTAGAATTCCCAATCAGTAGATTTCTCCTTTGTACTGTGAAGTTCAAATAAACTGCATACAAGGTATTAAAAGGATGTGGTAAATACCTGGATCTTAGGACAATGTTTCATTTTTTCCTCCTGTGGGATTGTGTTAGTTACAACAACAGCTTCGAATGCAGCATTATTAATCCGAGAAATAGCAGGGCCAGAAAAGATCCCGTGAGTGAGAATTGCATAAACTTTAGTTGCTCCTGCAGAAACCAGCCTGTTAAACACACAGGATAGGGACAAATGTTTCTACGAACATCAAGATATTAATTATAGATTAGATTTCAGGCAATGGCAAATCTAATTACCCCCAATATCTACCAGAAAAATTTAAGGTAGTAAAAAACATGCGCGCTTTTGTTTTGTCTGGGAGATAAAACAACCAGATAGAACATTCCTTTAGGGACTTAGGAATGTTTAAAAGCAGCCTATATTATGCTCCCCATTGTCTGTGACATGCCATACATGTTCAAGTGAACATTAAAACTGTTGCATTAATATGAGAAGATTCTCCCTTAATAAACCAAGCTCCTAAGATACTCTTCTTTTAAATTCTGTCCTCATATTTGGAGCCTTCTTGAACAGTGGTTCCACTACCGGAGCATCTTCAGAGTCACTAGATGTTCTCAACACACTTCATGAAAATAATTTGTACGCATGACTATGTGGGCACTGTAAAGGTGTTGATGACCCTATGCAGTGATAGACTATTACATGGCTTGACGAGTCAAAGTTAATTTTCATCTGGGAAAGCTCAATTTTACAAAGCTTTTATAATTATTTTGCTGTATGAGTTGCCTTAACTTTTTGGAAGCATCCTTTTGATGGATGGTAGGAAAAAATCAAAATGCATATCTAAGATTTTGTGCATGCACGATCCGCTTTTTCTAAATTAGAACTCCTTGTCCTTTTACGAGAAACCCTTCCATTACATTTGCTTTTGTTTGCCTGTCGTCCTCATCAGAAAATCAGCCTAAATTCCTCAAGGTTTACTTACTTGTCAGCTGCATGGCATATTGTGCCACACGTGTCCGCCATGTCATCCACAAGAATTGCCACGCGATCAGTCACGTCCCCAACCAAGACCATTCGGTCCACCTCGTTAGCTTTCTTCCTTTCTTTGTGAATCAGGGCAAACTCAACATTAAGCCTGTCTGCGATTGAGGTGACCCTATAGCAGATTAAAGAGGAAAAGACAAAGGAACAAACAGTTTTAAATATTGCACGTAACCAATGTCTTAAAGTAATACCAGACTTCCCTAAATTCTTTATACACTAAATGCCTAATATGCGTGCTGGAGGCTCATATTTCAGTCATTTGTTTAGTCCCATTGCAACATCGGAATAAACTGCCTCACTTTTAAAATGTTACATCCTGACAACAAATCATAGTTATTTTATTATTGCCAGAAGTCTCTAAACAAAGCAGTGGATATTTTTAAGTAAAGATACTCATTTTCAAGTGCTCTCTAAACAAATGCATTCTGTGCTTCTGTGTATGTGTGTCTGTCCATATACACAAAATTAAAAAGAGTGACCTCTAGTACTTCACTATATATATAAACAAAAGGAACTAACAGATACTAAAAACCTGGATAATGATTTTTTAAATATTGTGTGATTGATTGTGTATATCTACATTTAGATAAAATCTAAGACGCAGAGACTATGTACAGTAAGTTTTCAAAGTATCAAGGTCATTTTCTGAGATACAGAGAACCACAGGCAAAATGTGTATCTTTGGATATGGTTACACATACACTATGGGTTCATATTTCTTATGGAAGTTCTGTATTCTTGAACCCAATCATGACTGTTTGTTCGATTAAGCAGGTTAGCATGATGAACAAACCAGGATCTCTCTCTCTCTCTCTCTCTCTCTCTCTCTCCAAGTTATCATACAAGACCTTGATCTGAAAAACTGCTCATTTAGGTGAGACTTTGTTGGACTTTTAAAAAAAAATCACTGTTGCCATCTTACTTATGTCCATGACTAATATTTTACAAGTTTGCTATTTCTGTCTGATCTTCTTGCTTTACCTACTGTAGCAAATTTAGTATAATGAGAACAATCTTGATTTAAAAAAATTACACTGAAGAAGCATATAATTCTAAGGAGAAGAAACTCTACTTTTACACTGCCTGTATAGTGATGTTACAAAACATTTCAAATTTGAAACAACTGTTCTGATCTTACCAGAAGTGTTTCAAACCCAAAACAGATCGGTTCAAGCTTGGAGCACTACCAGCAGGATCAGAACAATTCCATTGCAATGTTTGATACAGACAGAAACGGGAATCCTTTTGTAAGGTCTTAACCCTTCGGCAAAAAAATGAACAGAGGGAGTGCCAACTTGGCCTCCCAAGGTACCAGATTCCAGAGTTAACTCCATCACCAAAAAGGCTCTCAGTAATATGTATTAGAAAAATAATCCCTTTTTCCCCCTCAAAGGACTTGATTAATAAGGTCAAAGTGAAGAGGTCAAATAATCTTTATAGCTTAAAGCTTTCCAAAGTTGCAAAGCTAGTGCGCAAGACTGCTTTTTGAAACACAAAGCAAAAGAGAAGTATGCTATGCAACCTGTTGGCTTCCAAGACAAAAAGTTGCTTTGGAATGCATAGGGTAGCAATGTAGCAACTCTTTCAACCACACACATCTTTTTCTGGGATTGTGCTGCAACCACCAAAGGCAGACACACAAATATGTAGCTGTTTTAGGAACTGCAGAGAGTTGTCAGGTGAGCACCCATATTGCTCCAAAGCACCTTTTTGCCTTGGTATCCAAAGTACCCAGAGCCCTATCACATAGTTTGTTAACTACAACTTAGTCAAACACTGAATACCAGAGCATTTTCTCCTTTTTAGAATGAATGCTTATAAATACACAATAACTGCAGTGACCTTTTTGCTCCACCTGCATCAGGAGACACAATGACACAGTTTCTCCAGTCCACAATATTTTCTTTGATCCACTGCAGCACAGCTGGTTCTGCATACAGGTTGTCCACAGGGATATCAAAGAAGCCCTGGATATTACAAGAACAGAAGCAGTCATATATTGAATTTACATGCTTTTACTGTCTTCATCTGGCCTGATTAAAAGAACAAGCAGAAGAAACAGAGGATGATGTTTCCTGTAGTGTTTTTTAGGCAACCTGCAGGGCAAAATGTAGATTTGTATTTTTTTAGTCTTTCAGAAAATAAGTTTTTAGACATACTGTATGTACAAAGGTGTGTTAAACCAGGGTTAGCCTACTGATGGTGCTCCCTGGAAATACTTGCCAATTATCTATCTTCTTGGAATTTATGTATTTTTAGGATTGTTTTTCTGTTGTATTTTAATGTATTGTTATCTTGTAAACTGCCCAGAGTCGTTTCACGAGATGGGCAGTGACAAATCTGATGAATAAAAATAAATAAATCACTGCTACAATAATGATTGAAATGTAACATCTAACTAGATGTACAGATACACATTTTACAACAAAAAGGTTTAAAAGGAAATACCAATTTACTGACATTAAGTACTGACCTACAATCTATTTCAGCCTCAGCTAAAAGACTATATAAAGGGCTCTGCTTTGTAACTGTTCATTTTTCAGGGCTAGTTCATGATTTGGCCCCTGTATTTATTTTTTAACATAATATTCCTTTCTTTTTATCCTGCATTTTATGGATCATCCAGTTTTCCCACTGAAACTGTCCCCACACTGGCAATTTATTTTACACACTCCCTAAATTCTTGGGAATTTATCCTTGTTAGAGGGCAGCATTTGTGGAATTGTGGCGTGAAGGACTATGAGAACCAGGCACAAGAGTTCAGAGAATGTGAGAAGAGGCACTGCAATTTAATTTGCTTGCTGTAAGTTTACCTGGGAAAGTATTTGTTTTCAAGGTTATGTTTTTACCCCTGATTAGCACTCAAAGCTTTCTGAAATTCATGTGCTTTTCAATTCTTGGGTTTCATAGCTATGTGGGGCCTGACGCTTGGCCACCATCCACATCCTGAATCTTAGGCAAATGCTTTTCTTGTCCATCCTGTCAATTGTATGGAAGATCTTTAGTCTGTTCATATTTCTTCTTTGGTCACTCTGATATTTGTCTTGCTCCAGTTATTTCTCTTAAAGTGTAATTTAAAGGACACCATAAAGATATTTAATTTCTTTTGGTTTGCTTCACTTCCTTTTGCTGGTTATGTTCATTATTGTCCTCATGTCCAATTAGTTCTTTTTTGTTGAGAATGATAATGTCCTGCAGTGTTGGATATCTTCTTTCTATAATCTTTCAGGTACATTGAAAACTACAAAGAGATTTCCATGAAGTCACCAGGAGGTACGTATACCTAAGTTTCTCTCTGTCTCTGACTCATAATTACCTGTATCTGCGAAGCGTGCAAATCCATGGTGATAATGTGGTCTGCTCCAGCAACCGATAACATGTTGGCAACAAGTTTTGCAGAAATGGGAGCTCTGCTCTAAGGAAACAAAATATGGATTTTATGAACTTTGAAAAGAATTCTTAAAGTCTACATTTAAAGTTGTTTTTATACAGAACAAGTAGGAGTTGCATCAAAACTTGTACCGTGCTTTCCAAATAGTAATGCTCCTATTCAAGTTGCAACTCAATAGCCATGCTTCTTCTGGGATATTATTTTCTCATAGCATTGACCCTAACAAGCTATATAGCTTCCTGTCCCTCCCACTTCTGTTGTCCATTGTTTTTCTTTTAATGTCACTTAGCAAGGGCCAGTGGAACCGTGCAGTGCTTCAAGGCAAAAAAAGTGTTTCAAAGCATGAAGAAGCACTCATGTGATATCTGTCTACACCTCCTTAAAACAGCCACATATTTTCCTGGGATTGTCATCCTCTATAGCAGTGTTTCTCAACGTTGACAACTTTAAGATGTGTGGACTTCAAGTCCCAGAATTCCCCAG